TGGATGGAGGATGACGAATATACGTATATTATTATACACTGTACACAGACCGAATCATCATACACTGTACCCAGTGTATAGTGATCTACTGCACATCTATACTAGCTCAGCAACTCAAATCATCAACATGCGGTTACCAAGGTATGATTTTTAATAGAACATCCTTGACTGATTACTATAAACATAGTAAATAAATTGAAAAGTAAATATTTAGATTGTATGTTACGTAATGTAAATCTATTACAAATAATATTTAGAATAATTATATAAGACAAATAATACTAGAACAATAATATTTGCAGTAACATTTAATTTATTTGTAGTAATAGAAATGTGAGTGCTTTCAAACTGATAAAGAGGCATTGCCTTTCAATACCCTTTGTTTAGGCTTATAGTATTCTTCACTAATCAAAATTGACAGAGATTGAAAATAAATGATATGCGTGATAAGAATCTATTGTCACTATCACCATATTTACGTGAATTGTTCTACTTGTTCGTCATCATTTGATTTATTTAGCAATTATGCTATACAGGCTGTTCTGCAGAACGTTGAACATGCGAAAATAGGTGGGGTCGTCTACTACCTACCCAGCACTTAAGATTTGACTTATACCCCAAAGTTGTTAATTTGAACTTTTTCAAATGAAACGATCACTTTAAATCTGGTATTTTGTAATTGTGAATTGATCGTTTCGTAAATCATTTAAGTTTCCTAATACGTAGAATTTGGTCGAAATGGTTCGGCCAAGTAACGAAAAACTCTGGTTACGAAAAATATATCAAAGCAAATTACATACCGTTAAAAAGTTTATACTCGTACTCTAGAGATATTTACAAAAAAAACAGAAGTCTACCATAGCTTTTAATTGTTTTTTTTTATGCAACGCGAAGTTGACCATTTCAGAGCTTCTTGTTTACTACACCTGCAACAAATTAAAATTTTAGAAGATCCATCCATTGATTTGATGTTTGATTTGGTCTGGGTGTTTCTATGTATAATATGTATGTATTTACAAAAAAAAAAAGTATATATGTATTTATATCAGTTGTCTAGTACCTATAGTACAAGCTCTGCTTAGTTTGGGACTAGATGGCGTTGTGTGTATGTGGTAGAATATATTATATTTTATATATTATTGAGATTTCACTAAAAAAACAATAATTATCCAGATCCGTCCATAAAAAAAGTTATAGTGGTTTAAGAGTATGAAAGTGACGAAATTACGAAAATTTAAGAAAAAATTAAATAAAAAACCTTCCGGCCTAGGCCCCATCTAGGTCGGTGCTGATTAGGTAGAAGACGACCCCACCTACCCCCGTTTTCGTATGTTCACCGTTCCTCCGACCATTTTGTACATAAAATATGTGATAAAGGTTATCACAAAAACTGAAGAACCAGATAACACGGTTCAATATACGTCGGTTAAAAAATATTTTTTTTTTACGAAAATACAAAAATGCAAATTTAGAACAAAATAAATACATTAAAATAATTGCCGAATTAGAACACCATTGTTAACATGAGTCGGTGAACTTTACACGGCAGCGTTGCACTCCTTGAAAAAGTAGGTACGAGTACTTTGGTTGTCTCGTAATCTTTGTACCGCCCGGCCCTCACAAAAATTCGGCAGTCCGTAGGACATACACGATTGATTTAATACCGCGGTTTGTCCGTAAAGCTAAAGATGCGTTTTGAAGTTCCCCGTAAATTAAAATTATGCATTATGGATGTTGATACTGATAACCCAATAAAATTAAAAAAGACTGATAATTGACTCAGTTTCACACTACATGACACACAGAACCTAATATTGACACTTTTCAAAGTAAAATTAGCGGGACTCGTTACAACACAAAGTCTTGCTCACACGATAACATTAATTGTTCACACCATTGCCGTGTATCATGACGAAAGCAATAAGACTAAACAATTCGTCGCCCAAGTGCTTAATTGTCCTATCTACCATTGATTGAATTTTACAGGACGAAGTTTTTTTTTGCTCTATTGAAAAACAAAGACATAGTTTCCAGATTTTAAAGTCTTTCTAAATACATGAGTTACCAATGAATTGATTGTTAGAATTTTCATCTACTGATGGTAGCTAGATTTACCTTATTTTACAGTTTTAGTATGGAGATAGAACAAAAATGTGAACAAAAATTAAAATTATAATTGTGGGAGATAGCACAAAGAGACCGTTCCATTTGTGCGTGCTTATTTGTTCTGAGTGTCAAATATATTATTTATTCTACATACTGACTAGTAATAATGAAGGTGCCTTTTAAATTATTTCTATGGCCTCTGAGATTTAAGGTGCTTTTAACTAAATAAACTCGTACGTATTTTTAACTTTTTATATATTAGTTGACAAGGATAAAAAATCTTTGACTAAAACACTACCGATTTGGAAAATTAATATTCTTTTTTGTTGTGTTCGTAAGTGTTAGAACACAGTTTGTGTAAAGGAAAATTTAAAAAAATCGTACAGAGTAAAATATCAAACGGGTTATTATTAGTTTCGCTTTTTTGTTTTTCTTATTGTCTTGTCTTTGGGGGCTTCTTCACATTTTTCTCTGCTATAGTTTCATTTTCTTTAATAGGAGTCACCTTCTCATTTTTCTTTCCAGTAGTTTTATTTCCTTCAGTAACTTTCTTATTCTTGTTTTACCTCCTTTACTTTCATTTCTTTCAGTGAGTATATTCTTTATATTTCTACTTCTTATAAATTCGTTTCCATCGGAGGCATTAAGCAAAGGCATATATTTGAACATGCTCCGAATGTCACCAATTTTCGTTTTTGTTAAGGTTTTTTTTGCTTCTTTCATTGTAATTTCACTCAAAATAACTATATCCTTTTTTTCTTATGACAACTGTTTCTATTGGTAGCTAATATGAAGTTTGATATTTTATAATGTACTACTCTTATTTCGAATAACTTATTGACTTAATTTGTTTGTTAGGAATTTGATAAAAACCAATTTTCTAGCTTCTGAATGAAATGACAAGAAATCAGCGTACTCCTTTTGTAAAAAAAATAGTTTAAGAGCTTTCCATTCAAGGGAATGATTATAAAATTATTCCTATTTCAAGTGATAGATGTTTTCTTTGCTTTTTCTAGTCGCTTAAAAAATTTCTTCTTTACTTTCATAATATTTTTATTTGGGTGTCTTCAATGAAGTCATTTTCAGCAGTTTAGTTAATTAAATTTAAAAAAGTAAGATTTTAGATAATAAAATAAAAAATACCACACATTCAATATAATATGTTAAGCGTTACAGGAAAAAAACCCTTCCATATGAGCGTTTATTGAAACATTATAGGTATAACATTTTATAATTCAAACAAATTATGTCACAGCGACAACAATAAGGCTATCATTAAGCAGCAGAGCCATAATTGAAAAAAAGTTAATGTTCAACCAAAGCGCTCATTGAAAAGAATGCTGCACAAAATTAAGGTATTACATCAAAATTTGCAAGGCAGTGATCAAAATTGTAAACCAGATTTAGAAGCTAGTAATATTTTATTTAGTAAAATAGTACCAGCCTTGTATACCAGCGAATAGGCCATTTAATCATATAACAAAACAGTTTGGTAACGTGCAAAGCGTTTTAAAACCACACCAAAATTTGTTAGTAAATAAATTCTTAAGTACCTTTTTTTACATGCCAAATAACTTGTAATTGTCTGCTTTCCTCGAGTAGTTACATTTAAAAAAAAAGATTATACCAAATTAAAATAAGTAATCCTGTTTCATACAATGTTTAATATCCATCATAAGAATAAGGCAGTCATTACTTAAATTTTTTGTAAAAAAATTATATAACCCGGAATCAATCCTTTTATTCCGAGTCGAGGCCCATAAATTTTGAAATTACTATAAAATAACAAACGAATGCTTTTGGGCTTGGCATTGAGGTTGTTCCAAGTCATTAAAAAGCATGATCCTGTTTCAAAATCATAACGGAAATAAAAAGGACTTACTGTTTGGTTTGCGGTTGCATCTGTTTATTCTGACTTTTGGGATATGTGCCAGACATTATTGGGCACCTGTCTAAAAAAATCTAAGCACAAAAACACAATAAATTCAATTATTTTATCAATATCTTCGGGAGCAACGAAGCGTCTTTTGTGACGGCGGACATGGCGTTGTAGACTGTAATTGGTTGATTGAGTGGACAAAGAACACTCAAGCACTCAACGCTTCTTACGACCTAGGGCATAGAACAAAAATTGGAGATAAAACAAATAAGCACAAAATTTTCTTTACAATATCTTGTCACAAATAAAATTCAAATGGTTTTTTTTATTTTAAATGAAAATAGTATTAAAGCTTTTTTAACCAACAGGTGTGAAATTTAAGTCTTAACAATACTGCATTTAAAGTTAATTTTTGATAAAATTGGTCGATGGGACAAATAAGCACTCGGGCGACGAATTATTAACACAACAAAACTTTTCTAAACAAATATCTCACGAACAACAACAATATTATTATTAAGTTAATTTTTCGTGAGCACATCTACAAGGACACAGAACAGCATAACACTCGCCAATGGCCAAGGGCCGACTGACTGTATTTACGATGAACTAATTAAAAACGCGTGTCTTTCATCCTGATGACGCAAAAATCAACAAATTTCGTTCGATTCGAGTGTAGTAAAAGCGGCAACGTATACAGCTGATGTCTGCCTAAGGTGAATGTATTAGATTGCATTTACACATGATGTTGCAAATTACGAAAATGAAAAAATAAATTTGTTCGTTAAAAAATAGATCACACGCTGTATAGAAAAACAAATACAAGATATAATTCTTTTTACGTTATAAATAAATCCTTTAAGAGAACAGCATTCACTCGCATAGATATATAATATAATGCACTGATTATGAATGTGAAATAAATAGAAAATACATGTCAGTTGACTATATTGCATCAGTTGAACAATACACAGTTGGAAATAAAAACAGAAATATATTTTTTAACATCACAATAATGAAAATCGAATGTGAAATGACAATTGACAATGTTGAAAAGGAATCGGGAAAAAGAAACTGTAAAGTTGTGTATAACGATCTACTGTCGTCAGCTGGTGAATTGGGGCGATATCAATGGCTGTTATTTTTCTCTACATGTCCGTTTTTCGCATTCGGTGTATGTGTTTATTACTCACAGATGTTTATAACGGAAGTATCTCCTAATCATTGGTGCTGGATACCAGAGCTGGCAAACATGACTGACATTCAACGTAGAGATCTCGGTGTACCTAAAGATGCAAACGCTAGGTTTGGATATTTACACTGTGAGATGTATGCAGTTAATTGGACTGATGTGCTAGCAACAAAACAAAAGCCTGATCAAAATTGGTCTGTTATACCATGTAAATATGGATGGGAATTCAATAAATCTGAGATACCATATCCTACTATAGGAAGTGATTTTGAATGGGTTTGCAAAAAAAAAAATATCAGGCGACCGCTCAAGCTATGTTCTTTGTTGGTTCCATTTTAGGAGGATTGATTATTGGTTGGATTGCTGATCGTTTTGGTAGAATACCAGCAATAATGTGTAGCTGTTTTGTTGGTAGTGCAGGAGGCTTTATGAGTACATTTGTTCGCAACTTTATTGAATTCACAGCTGCAAGGTTTGTGATGGGTATGTCTTATGACACGTGTATGATCCTGGCATATCTTCTTATTTTGGAATATATTGGTCCAAGATATAGGACATTATTGGCGAATATGTCTTTTGCTATATTTTATTCTCTGTTTGTAACAGCATTACCTTGGATTGCTCTGCTTTGTGACCATTGGAAAACTATTTCTCTAGTAACCAGTTTACCTTTAACTTTAGGAGTGTTAACAAAATTATTTCTACCAGAAAGTCCTTTGTGGTTGATATCTAAAGGACGAGTGGATGAAGCCATTGACCAAGTTCAAGTTATTGGTCGAATTAATAGAAAAAATGTGGATCCAGAGTTAATAACAAAATTTAAAAAATCTGTAAAAGAGGTGACCCATGAGGAATATCAAAACTTATTTGAGATCTTTAGAAGACCCATTTTAAGAAAAGTTTTTGTTTTAATTTGTTTAGAATATATGTGCTGTACTTTAGTGTTTGATGGACTCGTAAGAAGCATTGGACAGTTAGACTTCGATTTCTTTGTATCGTTCTCGGTAATATCGTTTACAGAGTTCCCTTCGGTACTCATAGTAGGATTCATTATGGACTACATGGGAAGAAGATGGCTGTGTACTGTGTTTATGGCCATAAGTGGTTTGTTTTGCGTTCTAATTTTATTTGCCAATGGAGCACTAACTGTTATTTTTGCTATCATAGCACGATTTGCTGTAAATATGAGTTATAATGCCTCTATACAGTGGGGTCCGGAGCTTTTGCCAACTTCAGTGAGAGGGTCCGGTGTAGCTACCATACATATTTGTGGATTCATTGTTTCTTTTCTATCACCATACATTGTGTATCTAAAAAATTATTTCCACTGGTTGCCTCTTACAGTAATAGGTGCCATTGCTGGACTTGGAATGATGTTACCATTAGCATTGCCAGAAACGACTATGACAGTCATGCCAAAAACATTTGAAGATGTAGAAGAGCTGACTAGAAAACAAAATCTTTGGAAACTGCCTTTCATGGAATCAAGAAAAGCAAACGAAATGAATGCAGGAAGGAATACCTAATGGAGGCTTTCGACGTCAACCGTAATTGATTTAAAAGAACAGTGACATAGTACGCGTAAAATATCTAGTTATTGTAATATGGTTTCTTTAGTATCCATCAAAATATGTTTCTCTCCATAAATGTCGAATGCTGAATAAATCATGAGATTTATCAAAGAACACTATTGTTCTATAAGGATGGTCTTAATTTAGTTATTTTGTTGCTCTATTTTTTGTTATTACTTTGACACATTATTTTGTTATCATATAATAATAGAGTAGTAATATATTTTATAACAGAAATTCTGTAACAAAGAAGATTACACACGAATACATCATACATATTTTACATCACATTTGAATAAATGACCATGATATTTCGGTACTTATGCATTTTATTTTTCAGCAGTATTCTAGCTTTACTATGTACTAGCACTTATGCCCAATACTCTTCTTAGAATTTAGAAAAATAAAATTGAATTAAAGCTTAAGGTAGGGTTCTGTTCAGATTTTTTTTGTTTCTTAATATTATGTACTTGTATAAAAGGTATAAAAAAATTATAAAACTGGTTGGGTGCCTGTTGTCAATAGTAAAAAGCACCCCACGCTTTTTTTCAAATTTATTTTCTATTTTTTAGGTTGGTTTTCTATAGAAAGCGTGTTTTTTAATTTTTTAAAACTATTTTTTTTATTTTTTTTTTAAATTAGTGTATTGTCATCGGTCCTCGATATATCTACACAGTTTGAACGAATTCTGACCTTTTAAAGTCAGTCCAAATCACGCCCAAAGGAGTCGGTTGCAAACATACAAACAAACATAAAAAAACAATTGTGCTGTCGATTTTACAATCGTCTTTATAAACACGTAAATGAGTAAGTATATGGTATTAATAAAAATGCAGATTCTAAATTGAGCAATACAAATAGCATCATCAGGAGTATATACTCACTTTATTTATAATGTATATCTAAGATAGTATTAAATTTATTAAGAATTCATATAGCTAGCTTTTACCATGATTTTGTTCTAGTCTATTGTATTCGAAATTCGGCTGAAAAATTAGTCGCTGGCAAATGTATAAATATTAGTATGCCCTATGAAAAATGAAATGATTATGTCTCAAAATTGATATACTATATTAAATTCAAAGCAAAGTGTAAAAAATATAGACAAAACACTGTAAAACAATATCACATTAAAACTATTTTAAACGTACGTTGTATATAAAATGTCAACCTCGTTAGTATCAACATAAAATCGCAAATAGGGCCAAAGTGTCGTTATACAAAGGAGTTTTAGAGTTTGTTAGAGAAGTTTACTATTTAAAAACAAAGATCACCTCATTTGCGTGAACTGGGGCGTTCCTCTAAATATAAATGGGACGGTATACAGTTGAACTACTTTAACAATAATATTTCTTATGCTTTATGTAACAATATAAATACAACAATAACAATATAACTCATAGTATAAACTGCTAGGCTTTTAGCCGTATAGCTATTATACTACTCTGTCAAGAAAGTATTGGGAAAAGGTCAATAATACACAAAATGTTTGTTATTCATCCAAATTTATTTTATCACTTTCAAAGTATGCTTCTTCAGAAACGATACACTTACGCCAACGAATAATCCAATCATCAAAACATTTTTTAAACGCTTTTTCCGAAATTGAATTCAGTTCTCGCCACGAATTCTCCTTTATGTCTTCTACCAATTGAAAACGGGTGCCACGAAGTGGTAATTTAAGTTTAGGAAAAAGAAAGAAGTCGGCTGGAGAAATATCTGGCGAAAATGGTGGTTGCTCGACGGTATTTGTTGAGTGTTTGGTAAAAAATTCTTTCACAATGATGGACTCGGGTGGCGAAGGCGCATTATCATGGTGCAAAATCCAAGAATTTTCTTTCCACTAATCTGGCCTTTTTCGTCGCATTTGCTCTCTTAAATGCCATAACGCTCAAATAATATTCTTTATTTATCGTTTGACCTTCCGGCAAGAATTCCGAGTGCACAACACCGCGATAGACAAGGAAAACAGTCAACATGACTTTGACTTTTGATCGACAGTTGGAAGGCGCCACTCCGAAGCCTGTTGACTAGTTTGAATGTCAAACTTGTAAACCCATGTCTCGTCATCAGTAACAATGCGTTTCATGAATGTTTCGTTCTAGCATGTCTTTAGATTTTCATGCGATTGAGTTTTACGAGAAAATTCAGGTGTTTTGGGTCTAGCCGAGCGGTAACATGTTTCATACCCAAATGATTAGTTAAAATAGTACGGATCGACTCGTGAGATTCAGAAAGTTCGGCGGCTATCTCTCTCAAAGTTGTATGAGGATTTTCAGTCAGTATTTCCTTCACTTTTGCGATGTTAACTTCAGTTGTAGACGTTGATGGCCTACCAGAGCAAGGCAAATCTTCCATCACATCTCGACCGCTTTTGAACGCTTTGTACCACTCATAAGCACGTGTTTTTGAAAAAGTCGATTCACCGTAAGCCTTCTGTAACATTTTCAGTGACTCCGAACACGAAATTCCATTGGCGATGCAAAATTTAAGACAAACTGTTCGATGTTTTTGACCAATATGATATTCACAATACACACTAGATATGATAAAACTAAAAACAGCACTGTATTTAATATAAATAACAGATGAAACTCAAACTCCACGTCAAAATAGAAAACAGTTGTGCCAATCTAACAACAACAACAAAAACAAACAAAAAATTTAATTTTTAACTATAAACAAATCATCAATTCCCAATACTTTTTTGGGTGTATGTAAATATTTTTTCCTTATATAATTTTTAAACCGTAGCGTACGTTCCTGTATTACATAAACACATACAGAGAAACATAATTATGTACGTGTTTATTGAAACCTGCATTAGCTGTTTTTGTCAAAACTAAGACGACGAATCCTTAAATTTGCCTAATCTAAGGAAGGTCTTACAACTCAATATTAAATCCTAATATCCAAATTATTTGAGACAGTTGGAGTATTGAACCTAGTGAAGTAAAATTTTATTTTTTAAATAAAAAGTTGGTTACAAAATGAAACCAAGTTTACAAAATATTATAATTTACACTAGACTCACTATGCTGTCACTGTACGCACTTGCATGTAGGTACTTTTTGGCATACAATACTTAAGCTAAAGGGAAAGTTTATGAAAATGAATTTCTGAACTTGAACTTCAAAAATTATAACCCAACTAGTTTTTAGACGGGGCTACGGCCGCGTGTATGTCGGTTATTGCGGTAAAAAGTAGCCTATATCACTCCTTGATAATAATGTAGCTTCCTATTGGTGGAAGAATTTTAAAAATCGATTAAATGCACAAACAAACTCACTTTCACATACAAAATAGAAGTATGGATAACGTGTTTTTTGTTTATATGGAAAAAAATACAGTTGACATGATGCTTAATCTACAAATAGTGGTGGATACAGTAGTAATTTTTCTTATACAAAGTGTTAATAAGCATTTGCCGTTTCCTGTGGATAGCTATAAAGAAAGGTGATATATGTATATCATCAGTCCTACACAAAATATGTAATAAATAACCTAACTGTCACTAGATAAGTTTGTGAGTGAAATGACTAGTTGCCTGGAGGAGAGATATGGTATTGTCTAAGATGCGCTTAACCTAGCTTAAATAGATTACAATGTTTATGTTACAAGAGTGAGCGGATCACAGACCGAAGCAATAGAAATAAACCGAAAAGTAAAAAAACAAAACAAAATTGCACTGACTTGCATAGTGTAAACTATACAAGAAACAAAAATACTTGGTACGATAAGTTTAGGAATTGTATTTTAAACTTGTTTTTTAAACTCAACTCCTGCATTACAAAATATATTTTGTGTAGCGGATGCTTTACATATATATGTTCATTCAAACGTACACAAAACTTTACTAACTAACTACTTGTATGGACAGTGTTTTAGCATTGTGACACAAATTGCTTAGGCACTAGAGTCAGTAACCCTCTTGTTATATCTCATGTGAATGGTATAATTGCATAAAACGTTTTGCTCTGAGACTGATGGACACAGCCCAAGATAAAATTTAGCTCCTTAATGGTTAAACTAGTCCATAAAAATTAGTACAGACCTTAGTCATTTTTGACAATTTATAAATTGATATATTATTTTTAACTAACTTAAAAAAGGATACTTTCTCAATTTGACATGTTAAGTCTATTTTAATGATAATGATTACAACAGCCTGCATAGCTAATTAATACATGTTTTAGTCATCTAATTGACGTGACAAAGGGGCAGATCACATAGCAAGAAAAACGAATGGTCCATGGGCTCTTAGAGTTCTCGGAGGGAGGCAATATCACCATCTCAAGAAGATCACTCAGTAATTACCGCAATAAGTCCTAAGGCTGAAATGACGATAATAGCTAACCATAACTAATATAAGTAATTTCAAAAAATCACAAAATAACATTCGAAGTAACAAAGACATGTTAATAGTGGGAATAAGTACACACATACGTGAATATGTGCGTGTGTGAGTATTTGTGTAAATAGATACATTTGCGTGCGGATGTGTGAAAATGTGTAGTAAAAAAAACTTATTGTAAAAAATACCTAATTACTTAATATACTTATAACTTAAGTGTAAAAAATAATATTAGTAATAGTCCCTTTCTCCAACAACAATAATTTGTTATTTTTTTATGATGGGTAAACTTGCACACAGTCACTTGATGAAAAGTGACTACCACCGCCCATGTACAACTGGAACTCAGAAGTCCCTTGTGACGTTGCCAGCCTCAAAGATGAGAGTATGCTTTTTTTCACTTTCCACTTCACAGTGCCAATTATCCCAGTGATAGGAATGTATGCTTTACGTAGAACGATGGCGGAAAATTGCAGTCAGTATTAGTCCAAACAATTCCTCAAAGCGATCGAAACGATAGAGGATACAGAGTAACGCTACATCTCCAAAGGGTCAAGCTGATCGAAAATATTTGGTGATTGGCGATTCGACCATATAGAGAAACTGGTCCTAGAACTTAATAAACATTACATTTTGCCCGTTTCTTATACATTTTTATAAGTTTATTTATTTATTTATTGAAAAACAACAGCGATACAATTATTTTAAAACTTAAAAACATACACAGATAGTTTGGCTAATAACAGTTTTTCCTGGTTAACTAAAAAAGTATATATCCAGCATGCGAACGAAAACATGAAAAGTTGATATAGCATAATACTCAATTAGTACATAAGTCTATAATATGATACCACATAAAATTATAGTGCATTATTTACACTGTAAACACAAAACGTTAGAAATTTTGGATTTGAATAGTTGTTTTGAACACGAGAAGTGATTAATCTCGTTAAATAAAAATATTATAAGTAAGCAAAATACGAGCAAATACACTGTTTCTTGCATAGGTAGTTGCATGTCGGGGTGCATGAAGCATACACCCATATGTCGGGTGCGACGTAACGGAGTGTTAAATACTATTTGCGAGACCAATTCGGCACTATTAATATGTCCATTTATTAGATTCACTTGTAACCAACCAGTTAACTAGCTATGTAAACTAATCTTTGAAGTTCATTCCTTACTACTTCTAAATGTACTATCAAAATGATTTTGTATGTTTTTTGAATGATAATAAACATTTTAGCGCTGATGACGAAGCCCGTCGAGTTATGAGTCATATATCTTTCACCAAAATTTAACATACTAAAATTGAATGGGTTTCAATGAGAACCAATTAGATAAACTTGAAAGACTTCAGAATTGAATTAAGGTTCATTTTTTGCATTACGCAAATATGTTTGTAATACAATATAAACTCAAGCGGCTTCCTATTCACCTTCACCGGAATACTCATATCCTCTCTTTATTGTGCAATACCTTGTTTAACCCCGCTACTCCTGCCTATATCAAGAAACGTTGTGCATTTATCGATGACAAACACAATAGATACTTGAGAGCATTGAATATGTATACATATATATATTATACTAGCTGACCCGCACAACTTCGTCTGCGTACCTTAAAATGAATATTTTTTTCTCGTTTTTGCATCATTTTTTATTAATGATTGGGTCCTATTGGTTGTAGTGTGTTGTTATATAGCTTGCCTCATTAATTGGACTATCCAATACTAAAATAATTTTCCTGAGGATTAGCGTGTTCAACCAAACAAAAAAACTCTTCAGCTGCATAATATTAGTATAAATTTATGTAGATGCACTTGTTTATATGGATGCTTGTGATTATATGTAAGATTTTAAGACACAATGTATTTGACGGAGGACCGATGTTTGGGTTGTTTTTAAATAGAGTGACGTCAGCTTTGCTGACAATGCGTTAAAACGCGCAATGCAGCTCGTTTTATCGCATTGTTCGTGCACGTGTTTACAGGTTGTTAGGTTAAGTGTTGTATTTTGTTGTTATTTTTAGATAATATGATTTTCAGGTTATTTCTTAACACTAACTATAAAAACTACAATTATAATAATTAGAATCTAATTAAAATCAATCAAATTATTTTTATTACAAATTTATTTTTACAACTTTTTTCGTGTGTTGACGGATTAAGAATACAGAGTGTCACCACCCCTATTCATCCCGTGGGTGTCGTAAGAGGCGACTAAAGGAACTTACTACACGTGACAACAGTACTGCAAAGAGAAGGAAAACTTGAAATCATACACCATACACATCATCCTGCTTGTTTGCAAGACATTATAATGTGGACATTATTTTAGCCTCACCTTTCATATGTGAAAAAATATTTCTTTTATAAAACTTTTATTCTTACTATGTTACCATGAATAGTCTTTGAAATTACCAGAAATAATTAAGTAATTAAGCTTTGATATAAACAACATATCATTAAATACAATTCATTAGCTTTCACTATAGTCAGGGTCAGGAAAAGGAGTGATTTTTTTTAAATACCCGCACAAGGAATATACCATGTTTCGTGGGGGACTTTACAGATATACATGAAGAAAACCCAAACTCAGACCAACAATTTGTGCATCACACAAAGTGTTGTTTTATGTGGGGAATAAACCCACAACACACAGCGCAGTAGGAAGCGCCGAGGTGACTGCTTAACCTACTATGACATCCGTGCCTTCAAATCAGTCAGTATCAGTAATTAATAAAAAATAATTGCTTCATGCAATAAAATAGGTATGTTGCGTCAACACTCATTGTTTTCTGGAAAAGTGAAGAAGGAAAAACAATTATCAACCCGCTTTCACCTGTGTCCTAAATACTTCAATATCCGTCATCTCAGGCGTACAAAGCTGTTTCGCTTTTGCATTATCTCTTAATTGGACTCTTGCGGCACTCAGGGTGGTAATGTAGGTAGGGTTGAGAAATAAACGTCATTAGTATTACACTCACGTTCTGTTTTAATGTATTATTATAATGGTTTATTCTAAAGTAATTTAAGCAACATAGGAATGAATGTTGTAAAAAATATTACCAGTATAGACATCACCATCAAGTTTATTCCATATGTAAACACACGTTTGCTCGCTCGCGTTAAGCAGTTGGATTAAGGGCCTGATGCAGAAAGCAGTTCTTCTCGATACGGCACGTATAGTGAGGAGGTTCTGTCTCTGGAGTCCTAACTATCGGTATCTTGGTCCCTGTATCCGATATCGATGGGACACTATTTTTTTGGTATTTTTAAATGTATTTGTTTATTTTCTTGTACATAAATATATTTAAAAATGTAATTTATATGTATATATAAATTATGTGGCACCACTACAATCTCTTTCGATGTATGAGAATCCCTGTAAACAATGCTAGGGATTGACTAAATTTTTCGAAGTAGTCGTTATTTTTCTTGTATACATTAAAATAACATGGATTACAAGTAGCAATGAAAACCATTGACATACTATTTTTTTTTAATGAAAATATTAAATAAAAAAATTGAAATAATAAGCTACTACTGAACAAATAGTTGCTTCACGTAACAATTACATTTATAAATAATAATAAACATTTATTTGCGAATATGGGTATACAATAGTAAAGTTGTTACAAAGGTAATTTTTGTTCCTTCATATTCCACCTTGTGGCATGCAAATATTTCAATATGCTTTTGTTTATATTACAATTTCACTAAAACACTTCAAACATAATCTAAAAATAATTCATGAGTCACATCTATATAAAAATTACATAAAGAAAAGATAATGTCAAAATTGGTGTCAAAATAAATTACAATAATTATGTCAATTAAATAGTAGATCAAGAGTCAAATCAACTAGATTGTAGAAATATGTCATTAAGAAGTAAGTAATAAACAGTTACCTTTTTTATGTTTACAGTCGACAACTGTGTAATACCCTTATTCCTAACACTATGTTTGAAAATATAGTTAATTATATAAACAATTATCTCTAGCAGTTGATATTAACAGCAACTCCACGAAATGAGTTTCTTGACCGGTACAATTAAGAAATTTATTTATAAAAAATCTTTAACATCAGGCTATTTCGGAAAACGGAAAGCAATAAATGAATGTTTACAAAGGAAGTTTGACTGCATGGATGGCGTAGTGGTTTAAGCGGTCGCCACGCCGCTTCCTACTACGCCGAGTGCTGTGGGTTCAAACCCCACATGGGACGACACTTTGTGTGATGCACAAATTGTTGTTCTGAGTCTGGGTGTTCTTTGTGTCCGTTTCATGTATGTTTGAAGTCCCCCGCGACACAGGATTTATTCCTAATGCGGGAGTTGTCTTTAAAAAAAAAAAGGAAGATATCATATTAAAGTATTCAACCAGATGGAAATTAGTAAAAACAATGATTTATTAGTAAAAAATCAACTTACCGATGAAATTGTATGCCTTTATAAGTTGAAATACACGTCCCTAAAGCGTTTTAACAGCCCATTATGCTGCAGTTCACCATTTTAACAATATAAATTCACATACGACGACTCCGTGCAACTATTTCACGAATGGTGTGAATTTCTGTAAGTGGTGTTCGTCTACACATCATTGCGGCGACAAGGTCAAGCGTCTATGTGACTTATAGTGTCTTATTTTTACGATTTCTATGTTTAAAACAAACGGTTTCAATCGCTATTTAAATAGGCGAAAATGCAATATTTATACTATCTTTTTTCGACTATATTTATTTTTGGGTTAAATCATTGGATGTTCACGTATAGGTTTGCACATAACTTTTAAATTTGCAACATATTAAAAAAAGGCGCTTGTTCCATATTAAATTTTTATAAATAGAAATCACTTCTGTAGTATGTTAAACAGAGTATATTTTTGAAATATAATATAACGACATCAATTATTTTTAACTAGAAATAAAATTTATTTAAAGTAAACCTTTTCATATTATTCTTATTGGGTTACATTTAGTGTCTGTCTGATAATATGTTATTTGTACTAAGTCTTCTTTGAACAGGCAACAATCAGGCTTAGTATGTATTAGTAACTAAGGCATGCTAAATAAATTCGTAGTGTATACGTAGACTTGTGAATTAGTAAAAGTTACATAGCGCTATTTAGACCCAACCAAGAATAAGGCGAAATCATAGGAGACAAATGCTTATCGAGTTTCTCGAATTCTAGGTGCATTCGAGAATATATAAATAGTAGTAAAAATATAAGTTACTTAACTAATTTATTAATTACAATATCATACAATTTCATTAATTCTAAAAATAATTTAGGTTTACTGAGAAAAAAAGAATGTTTTAAACTCAAAATAACATGATGGTACCTACTGAAATTAAATAATAAAAAAAACAAATAATACAGTCTTCAGTACTATTCAATTTGGCGGTCAATTCAGTAGACGTTGATGTTGCTACAAAATTTTGGGGTTTCGAAGAACCATCATTTTAATTTCTTGTCCTCCGACAACCATGGCGTTGTTCACTAAAATAGATGAAAATATTTAAATATACAGCAAATTGGCTTCAATTTAAAATACTTTTCTGTTTACATATACTTTAGTTTAAAGTAAAAGATTTGATGTAATTGACTTAAAATTAACTTTTAAAATGTTTTAAGACAAAAAAAATATATAAAAGTACACATAATTTGATGAGGTTATATAACATAGATACAATGGTATTGCACAGATAATAAAATATATTTTAGTACATTTTACACACAACGCCATCTAGTTTCAAACTGAACAATTTTTTGTTTTTTTTTTGTTTTTGCAGATAATACAAACATTTGGTACGACCCGGGATTTGAACCCGTGACCGCAGCACAGCAGTCGCACACGCTACCACTGCGCCACCGCGATGATTAGAAATTATAATTCTGTAAACTGAGATAAAAAAAGGTCGAGTTCGAAACTATTTGAGCATGAAGCACAAAGTAAAACCGTATAAATAAATATGAATACTTCTAATGTAAGTTTTTATTGTAAAGCCCTCATATACTCCAAAGAAGATAGGGTATTAAATATGTAGATCATAAGAATTGGGAGGAACATATTAAATTTCTTATTTTTATTATTGTCGATAGCCTTTAATAGTCCACTGCTGGACATAAGCCTCTCCTTAGAAAGGAAAAAGGTAAGATATTTCTTACTTAGGGGTATAAAATTTGCATTAGTGGCTAATTCGTCACCTCCGTGTTTTATCGGGTATCAGTTAACGCGTATTATAGATTAACATACATTAAAATTTACACATTTTTAATAATAAACATTTTAAATACTCACCGTTATGTGTTCTAAAATATTTGCGGCATATAATGCATACACACAACGCGAGAGCTATGGCTGTTATTATGAGTATTACTGCTACTAATATCCAGTTCGAGGTTATCCTGAAGCAAAATTCAATTGTTATTACAGGTTCATTTATATGTACTTCATATATTGGCCATAGTCTCATGCTAAAGCTGAATACTGCTAATATATCAATTTGTTATTATTATATTATCAGTCTTAAGATATAGGTAACCTACACTAATCGAGTTATGTCGCCGGTACACATCTTCAAGTTAGGTAGTCGGTAATCTGGACCGGACTTTAATCATGTAGTCTTATTTCACGGAAGCTTAAAGGGATTCTATAATCAGGGCCTTGGGTACACTTATAAAAGTAATCTTGGTTAAAAGTTGTTGAAAGCTTCCTGAACCCTAGTTTATAAGCCATGAGAGAGAATTTGATAGGTATTATTCTTTTATTTTTAATATATGGATGCATTTACTAATTTTAAAAGATTTAGGTAAGTTTGTAAACATTGATACTTTGATTTAACCTCAGTTGATGACTTAAGATGAGTCAAAACTGGTTCTGGTTTCCTTCTTTAAACTGACAAAACTATCTAATACATAATTACTTAATCAATTAAACATTAGGTACAATTATGGTTGATTTAAACTTACCAAAATACCAGATTTTTCACAGAGCCAGAAGAAGCCACACACGTGAAGTTATTTTTATAATATCCTAAATCACAATTGCATATTTCGGGCCCAACACACTTGCCATGCGGACATCCATCGGAACAAAATGGTACACAAACATGTTCTTCGACCTTTTTGTAACCAGGGAGACAATCACAGACATTTGGATAAACACAAGTCCCATTTACACAAGACTTAGTACAAATTGGTAAGCAAGTTTCATTTCGCCCTGTTACATTCATACTCCAACCTTTATCACAAATACAAATTTCTGGACTCACGCAAGTACCATGAAAACAACCACTAGAACAAGATGGCTTGCAAATATTATTGACTAGTTTGCTCTGTCTTAGTTTTTCAAATCCTCTTAAACAGTCACACGTATCGGGTGCGACGCAAACACCATTAATGCAGGGCTTAGTACATATTGGTTGACAGGCTTTACTGAGTTTTGACTCTGGTAATTTCCATCCTTGATCACATACACAAGTTTCTGGACTAACACAATTTCCATAGGAACATCCTTCAGAACAATAAGGCTCACATATATCACTGGCGGTGTTCTTTGTTGTTAACTTTTTATATCCTGGTAAACATTCACAAATATCTGGTGCCACACATGTACTATTCACACATATTTTGTTACAAACTGGCATACACGTACCATTTTTAAACTCATTTACTAGAGCCCACTGCCATCCTTTATGACATATGCATGTGTCAGGTTTAGTACAGATTCCTTTGTTGCATCCTTTGGAGCAATGTGGGTTGCAGACATTATTTTTTGACTTTATATAACCTTGTGAACATACACAAGTCTCTGGAGCTATACATTTACCATTTTTGCAAGGCTCTGTACATACAGGTTCACATACATCGCTAGTAGAATTGATCTCATTTGACTTTTTATATCCTGTCAAACATGTACAAGTATTAGGTGCCGTGCAAGTAGCATTTACACATATCTTGTTACAAACTGGTTGGCACGTAATCATTTTTGATCCGTTTACTGCACTTAACTGGTACCCTTTGTCACAAGTGCATATTTCTGGCTTAGTACAAGTTCCATGACTACATCCTTTAGAGCAATATGGGGCACAAACATTATTCTCGGACTTTGTATAACCTGGTGAACATTGACAGGTGTCCGGAGCTATGCATTTACCATTTGTGCAAGGCTTTGTACATATCGGTTCACAGGAATTGTTGTTTTTTGTAATTATCGATTTCCAGCCTTTATCGCAGACACAAGTTTCTGGGGCGACACAAGTACCGTGAGGACATCTATTAGAACAATAAGGTTTACAAATATTATTGGTAGCCTTTTTATATCCCGTCAAACATGTACAAGTATTAGGTGCCGTGCAAGTAGCATTTACACATATCTTGTTACAAACTGGTTGGCACGTAATCATTTTTGATCCGTTTACTGCACTTAACTGGTACCCTTTGTCACAAGTGCATATTTCTGGCTTAGTACAAGTTCCATGACTACATCCTTTAGAGCAATATGGGGCACAAACATTATTCTCGGACTTTGAATAACCTGGTGAACATTGACAGGTGTCCGGAGCTATGCATTTACCATTTGTGCAAGGCTTTGTACATATCGGTTCACAGGTATTGTTGGTTTTTGTAATTATCGATTTCCAGCCTTTATCGCAGACACAAGTTTCTGGGGCGACACAAGTACCCTGAGGACAACCACTTGAACAATAAGGTTTACAAATGTCACTGGTAGACTTTTTATAGCCCGTCAAACATGTACAAGTATTTGGTGCTGTGCAAGTAGCATTCACGCACTCTTTGCTACAAACTGGTTGACATGCTTTAATTTTTGATCCACTCGCTGCATCCAGTTGGTATCCTTTACCACAAGTGCATACTTCTGGCTTGGTACAAATTCCATGGCTGCACCCTTTAGAGCAATGAGGGGTACAAACTTTATTCTTGGACTTAATATAACCTGGTAAACATTGGCAGGTGTCTGGAGCTATGCATTTACCATTTTCGCAAGGCTTTGTACATATCGGTTCACAGCTTTTGTTAGGTTTTGAGACTGTCAACTTCCATCCTTTATTACAAAAACAAGTTTCTGGTTTTACACAGCTGCCGTGAAGACACCCGCTAGAGCAATGAGGCTTGCAGTTATATTTGTCTGACACTTCATATCCTGGTAAGCACTTGCAAGTGTCTGGCGCGATACAAGTGCCATTTAAACAAGGCTTACTGCACACTGGTTGACAGTTACTTTTTTTAGTTCCTTTAATTAAAGTTAGTTTGAATCCTTTGTCACATTTGCAGGTATCTGGATTAATGCAGGTTCCATGGGCACATCCTTGCGAGCAAACAGGTTCACAAACATTATCTGCTTTTGACTTTTTAAACCCCCGCAAACATGTACAAGTGTTAGGAGCTGCGCAAGTACTTTTTACACATTTCTTAGTGCATATTGGCTCACACGTTTTATTTTTGAAGTTATACCCACTATTACATTTACAAGTATCTGGTGCGACACAACTGCCTTTCCCGCAACTTTTAAGACAAACTGGCAAACATATGTGCTTGTTTTTTAAGTCTTGTCGATACCCTTTGTTGCAGGCACATTCATTTGGCTTCCGGCAAGAACCATTTTGACAGCCTTTAGGGCACACAGGTTTACAGACGAGTCTGAATTAAAAAAAACATAGAATCATAACAAACATACATAGAATAGAAAAGTGTTTTTTTACGGTATAGTAGGGCAAACGAGTTACGTAAGTACCTATCGCAGCCCATGGACACCTGAAACTCTTAGAGTCACAAGAGCGTTGATGCTCTTTGATTTTGCAACTATCATAAGAGGTATTTTAGTAGCAAAATAGTAAACTATTACTGAGACTAGCAGATAATAGAATTAATTTTATTTTATTTTGTATTTATTTACACAACTTTATGCACTCTTGTAAATTGGTGGACTTAATGCCTAGGGCATTCTCTTCCAGTCAAACTTTAGGTGGTGTAGAAATCGTTAGTGGTAGGCGCACATAGGATTTGCGATTTTTGGATACAATACGATATAATCACATTACAGTCAACGTCAGATGTTTAATACTTTACAACACAACGAAACTACCTTTCATGACAGTTGTGAGATCGAGAGTCGATTGAACTGAATTGTGACCGAACTTTTATTACGAGAATTGAGCCTTCAGGTAACCAATATATGGTCATTCGTGGACTTTTTATTTCATTAGACGTTAAGTTTCATTTCATTTTGTGAAAATGTTTAACCAAAGGATCTATCAAAGACAGTAGACGAAATTTTTATACATATATATAAACATACATATGTGTAAATTATTACAATATACTTACGTTTTGACGTTAGTTTTATCTTGAATGTAACCTGTACAGCAGTCTTTATAAGCGGTTTTCACAGGTTTCTGGAAGAATAAATTACTCTTCATTATTATGCTTGTCTCAAATTACTACCTGTTATATATTCTCGTCAAAACTTATTGGTATTTTTTTGTTTTATTATTTTTTTTCTAAGTAAATAACCATAATATTTGTATGTACTATGATTTTATTCAATCGATAAATGACATTATAATGCTTTTTGATTTTATATTTAGCAAATGTATGAAAACTTTCGTCTGCCACTGACTGTTGCTCATGCGTCATAACGTAAAGATTGTAAAAGCGAAAATTCTTGCAATTTGGTTTAATTTCACAGTAGCTTTAATTGATTTGCTACAATCCCTATAATTTAGGAAGTGAACTATATACATCTTATTTTGATGTTTACTAATTCTGTAAAATGACACAATGATAAACAGGTTTTATAATCACCCATTTTAAAAGCACTTATTCGAAGTAGATTTAAACTTTATGTCTTTATGAAAACGATAAAAATGATAATATTATAATAGTAAGGGAGCCCTAGAAGGGATTTCGGGACACCCAGTTGAGTACTTTCATCATATATGAGCCCTACATATAGGCCAGAGCGTCTAGAGCAGCCTATCAGATTATTAAAGAAAATACTCGAGCGCTTAAGATTAAGGTATGGATGGTAAGAAAGGTATGTTGGTTAAATTACAAATTACATACACATTAGTGTGTATTAAAAAAAATCTGCCGATCTAAGGCAGTGGCACGTCACACAAAGTAGCAAAAAAAACACATGACCTTGATTTTTGTTTTATTTTGAAGCAAACAATGCAAGAAATCTTCTTTAAATGCCTATATAATTTTTCGTGCCTTTATTTGTTACATTTTGAAAAAATAAAAAAAACTCTAACAGTCAGATTTAAAATAATCTGCAAAATTATCGTAAGTTTTTTGTTGATTTTTGAACATCAATTTGAACTGTGTGTAAAATGTAACACGCTCAGGTTTTTCGGCATGGCGATTTTTCAGTTTGCATTTTCGGAAATTCGCTACAAGCGGTCACAACCTTTTAATGGGCATTTTTGGCGTCCAAATAACATATCGTCAAAATACCTGATGCGCCCGAATATTTTTTTTTAGATTTCCTCTCCTTACATTTTTGAAAACCTGTAGAAGCTTTTCCCCCGCTGAAAGTGGATACATTACGTAACTTTTATTCATTCTATTACCTAATCTTTAAATGCAATACGTCCCCATAACGCTCGAGTAAATCCACATCTAGCATCATGGACTAAACTCACATGAAGAATAAAATATTTTAAAAATTTGCAACAATTCACAACTCGCTTAATTTCTACTAATCTAATTACGTAATATTATGGTGGCATGCGTTTAACACACTGACTTGACCACTTTGTGTTTTATTATTGCATTTATACAAATAAAAATCGGGTTTAATGGTACAGTTTCATTTAATAATTTAAATGTTCCATTTATGTTCCATTAATTACGTAATATTATGGTGGCATGCGTTTAACACACTGACTTGACCACTTTGTGTTTTATTATTGCATTTATACAAATAAAAATCGGGTTTAATGGTACAGTTTCATTTAATAATTTAAATGGAACTGTCCTTTAAAACAAAAAATATTTCACATGAAATGTGTTAAATTTCAACATATTATGTTCGGATTAATACATTTTTTTAAATCAAAAGTGAAACCTCATAATTAGACATACATATGCATTGTTTATAAAGGCGGTTAATAAAATTCAAAATATGTACTTACATATATGTAGTATTATCCTTAAAAAATCTTTTTACTTTAGCTTGGGTAAATAACACAAGTTATGTAGTGGTGTTCAACTTACAGTAAGTTTTTTCGTGAACGTGCGCCGAACTGTTCTAGTACCCGTACATTTTGAGCCAGATCTCCTAATACATTCTACTGCTGTCTTAAAATCTGTCCCTACGGTACTCCTAAAAAGTAAAACACAGTATTGATTAGACTTTCAGATACTGTTATGGGTTTTATAAAATATATTTGGTTTTAGATAATATCTGGATATTAAAAAATTGCAAAATTTATCAGGCAGAAAAATTACAGCTGAACTTTAATATATAGAATAGGCTCTAAAGTTATCCAATGACAAAAGTGCTTTAGTGTCTAATAAATCATCAAATAAAAATAATAAATAGTGTTTACATTTTGGTTTTTATACATATTTGAGCTTCAGTATAGGAAACACAAAATATTTTAATAATTATGAAACACGGCACAAAAAATATTACACTACTCGTCCCGATATACATTTTTACAACACTGGACCAGAATACAGTGCTATCAGGATTGCTGCTGCGCTTTATAGAGTACTTATTTAAGGCATGTAATGAAGGAAGTGATGGCAGCATGGAGGCGTGAATAAAAGTACAAATAAACGCCTAAATTAATTTATGATTTAAAGCATAAGATTCAAATTGACCTGAATATGAAACTGCTTTAAATCATAAATTTATTTAGTAGTTTATTTGTGCTTTTCCATAATTACTATAACTATCTTGTTTTGTAGAAATATGAACATTTCCTTTAAGGAGACATGTTGATGTTTTTGCAAGTAGAATAGAGTAGGAATATTTATTGCAATTATGCTGTAAATAATAAAAAAAATGTTCATTCTTCGCATTTCAAATTTGAAATAGTAATATATCTCACACATCTCACACGCGACCGTCTGATCCCAAACTAGGCAGAGCCTGTGTTATGGTAACCAGACTGCTGATAAATATACTTGTATATTTCTAAATAGATAAATATTATAGATAAATTACACCCAGACACAAAACAAATGATCGTGCTCATCATACAATATTTGTCCTGGGTGGGAATCGAACCCACGACCTCCGGCTTAGCAGTCAGGGCCACTGCATGTATCAAATGCATTCATTGTATGAGGAGCAGCTTATAACTGATTTAAAAAAGGAGTAGATTCTCAAACTAGCACTCTCCGCATCAGTGGTAGGTTTGTATGCTGCATAGGACAAGCCCTGAAGCTTACTGTTGACAAATAGGACATTGCACACAATCGTCTCTCTCTCTCTCTCTCTCTCTAAGATAGGACTTAAGGATAAATATAAAACCATTCCAGTATATTTATTTACGAGTACATTTGCTGACAAAATCGATTACGAAACGGATTCATAAACTGCTTTGAGTTGCTTAGCAGGGTTAACCCCATTATTCCAATATTCAACGCCAGGTCTAGCTAGTAGGCAAGAATTATTTCTGTATACCTAAATACCATACAAACCTTAAATCGCAGTACTCGGTAGCCCGAGCTACCTTTTAACTGTATGCTAATATAATAGATATTAATTTTACATTTGTGCGTTGAATTCAAAGGACTCTATTAGATAGAAGATATAATAATATAAGAGTGTAAGAGTTGTTACTTAAATTTTATAATTAGTTCATATAATTTACTAACTGATCCGCGCAACTTTGTCTGGGTATCGCAAAGGAATAACATCACACGGAAACACTAAGTTTTTTCGGGATAAAAGTAGTGTATGTGTTAATCAGGGTGGCAGGTACCTCCATAACAAATTTTATCAAAAAAGCCTAGCCGTTTGACCGTGTTTAAGAACAAGCATAAAAACACATACGCAAACTTTTGCCTTTAAAATATTAGTGTGAATTTTGTTCAATTGTTAGTGCAGTTTAGTCATTAGTGAGTCATTTAGTAGAGAGATGCTTAGTATTTATATTGTTATAGTATACAAATATTTATAGGTACAAAATATTTTTAGTCCCTTTTAAGTCAGCCAATGAAGCGTTCAAATCAGATTCGGCCATTCCCAATGAGTGTTAGTGAGTGATACTCGTATATTTAAATTTCATACAGATCAGAACTTTGATGAATCTTAAAGATCAATTAAAATCTTCTTAGTCGTGTAAGTCTTAAAGCCCCTATAAACATGGCCGTACACTTTTCTACATAAAATATCAATCATCCTGATAGAGAAAACAATGCTTTCCTTCACGTGTTACGTTAAAATGAATTTGTAAATCATCTGGTAAATACCCATCACTCATACATGATGGGTCCAGTTTTTTCTACTTTCAGTAGATGCCCGATTGTTTTCCTCTCGAACATACGATTCTGATTATATTAATTAATTTAATTGTTCACAATTACACTTCATATTTGCTCACCCATTTTTTTTTGACATGTCTTGTGGAAAACTATTGTCTGTCCCCAAAAATGCCTGTTTTACCACAAAGTATCACTAAGATCTTCGCTATTACCTAAATGAACAGCGAATCCAGGGCATACTTGTATATCAGCTTATTTTTATGTAAATTATTTTTATCAAATAAGTACATTAAAAATGTGTAAAATAATTGTAATATAGGTTAATTTATGAAGAAGCGGACATTCCCTGCGGGATTCCCTCTCATATCGGAATTATCTGTCCGTGGAAGTCCATAAACCCGCCTTGATAAATGTTTGTAGAGATAAGCCTATTCATGATGTCCTCTCCATTGCTAAATATACCTACTAAAAATAGTATTATGACATATTAGCGATTGTAAATATTAGTCAAAAGTCTACTTCAATTATGGACTTATTCTTCTTTGACTAGATTGTCCTGACTGTCCCCATAAGTAGAATGGCGCCTAATAAATCTCGCATCATTTAGTATTCTTTGCCTTTCTGCTGTTAAAATGTATACTCTCATTCAGGTTCAGATTAAATTCTTATAGAACAGTTAATGAATGAAACATTTGTGGCGGCGTCTTTTGAGCCGCGAATTCTCGAAGTACTCATAAATAGTGTATTTTTGTTGTGAACTATTTTTCTTCGTCTTCTTCCTTCCTTTGGCTTTGAAGTGAAATAGAAAATTTTAGTATCCAGGTGGTTTTAATGTAAAGTTACTTACTTGGTTCTTGAACTTAAATTATCTCTAACAAATCTTTACTAATTTTAGTTCTCTGTCTAATTTGGAAATTGCGATTTTAATTTAATTTTGCTGTTTGTTTTTTCCCCTAGAAGTGTATAGGCAGTTGATTTGAAAAGCAAATCAAATAATAAAGGTTTAATAACTTTTATTAACTAAAGAGAAGAGTGAAGAGATAAAAGCTTATCGCGCGACCCACACTCTCAACAACGATTTTAGTAAAAACAAGTCCAATGATATTATTTAATGATTATTATTTAATGAAATAAACCATATGATTCACTGGAAGGGGAATAGCCTTTCGCTGGTTTCCTAATTGTTGAAGGTATCTTTACCTTCAACAATTACATGCATTACAACAATTACACTGACATGTTAAATAACAATAATATCCTATATCATTCCGTCGCCCTAGTGCTTATTTGTCCTATCGGGTAATTTATCGAAAATTAGTTTTAAATACAGTATTGTTGAGATTTAAATTACACATCTGTTGGTTAAGGAAGTTTTAAAACTTTTTGGTTTTAAACCAAAAATAAACCATTTGAATTTTATTTGTGACACGATACTGTAATGGATTTTTTTATGTATTAATATGTGTAATTGTATATGCTAGTTGAAACTATGCTATGCTATATGCTACTTTACAACTGTAACCTCGGTGCACCTACCTCACTAGATTTCTACACCACCCAAAGGTTTGCTGGTAGAGAATGCCCTAGGCATTAAGTCCGCCGATGTACACAAGTGCATAAAGTTGTAAAATAAAAAAAATTAAGAAAATAATTTTTTGTACTTATTTGTTCTATATCCAGTTTTCGTTCTATGACCTACGTCGTAAGAGTTATTAAGTGCTTGAGTGTTCTATGTCCACTCAATAAACCAATCACAGCCCACAAAGCCCTGTCCGCCATTTTGTATGATTTGATACCGTAGTTGCCAATATCACAAAAGTGTTTTGTGCTTAGATATTTTTAGACAAGTACCTAATAATGCCTGAAACATATTACAAAAGTAAAAATGAACAGACGCAAGCTCAAATTAAAGAGTAAGTACTTTTAAATTTACCCTCAAGTCCATTATGATTTGGCAACAGAATGTAAACAACTTTCTGTTGCCAAATCAACCAAATCATAACTTTCTAGTTAATTTTTATCTAATTCTAGTTCATGTTTGTAATAGTCAGTGTTTGTAGCTAGCTAGCTAGTGTAATAAAGGTAATTACCGACTATTTTTATTTATTGTATACCCCGCTCGTAACAATATGTAGGTAAGTAGATGTATACTCGTATAACTTAGAAAAGGAATCTGTAAATCACGTTAGTTCTGTTCAATTTAATACATCTATTTAGTATGTTATATTTATATTGTCTTTTCTTTCCGTCAAAATGTTTTCATTTAATATCAGTACACTTTCATGTTTATAAAAAGGGCTTTACATATTTACTTCTTTGTTTTGTTATCAATTTAAAATAGTTCTTTTTCAGCATTTTATGGAGCAGTTTTATCTATTCCGATAAAGTCAATAAAGCCTGTGAGAAATTACTGCGTCTGTGTAAAGTATGTCCGTATTTGACCAATCAGGTTGTGTTCAGTCACACAAAATGACTATAAAAAGAACCTTTAGTGGGCGAATCTTTTGTAATAAACCTGTACGGCATTCGGACCGCAAATACAGTAGTTCAATTATGTAATTGAGTTTTGGTTCACAGTAAAGGCTAACTGGTATAGATTGTATTCTTTATAATACTTGATTTCTTGCCTACTAAAGATATTTTAGAACTAACTATAGCTTGTATTACTAGAAATATTATATTACTACATGGATACATATTTATGCATATAAATGTATCCACTGAGAAGAAATCTAACCCAACCCCCTGACTTTAGAGTCATATTTAGAGTTTGGACATTATGTATGCATGAACTTCAGAGTGGACTGAAGTTCCTTCTTAAATTGAAAAGTAGACCCTTACTTTTGTTGAAAACTTTGGTAGGACTTCGTGTTTATATTTAGCCCTAAATCGTTGTGACAACTAAGAAAGTACTCGTATAATTAATGAAGTAAAATTACAGACACTACATATTTTTGTAAAATTTACCATTGTACACTGTACATTGTACTTACAGTTGTTGTATTTATGGTTTTTGTAAATATTTTTGTTCAAGACACAATTGAATGTTGACCAAAAGCTCGATAGAGGGCGTGAATGTCGAATTAGATGTAACCATCATTACATAACGACGGCCTTTTAAACAGGGCCAACGTTATGTAATGATATATATGTTATATGTTTATTTATATGCATATAATATGTAGTAATAGTAGACTTACTTAGGCATCGCCTGTTTGC